AGGGAGAAGCAGACTCCCTGCCGAGCAGGGAGCCCGATGCGGGACTCGATCCTGGGACTCCAGGATCATGACCTGAGCCGAAGGCAGTTGCTTAATCAACTGAGCCACCCAGGCGCCATTGACTTGCCTTTTTAAATGTTTAATATCATTATTAAAACTGTGTTCTGATTGCCACTCTATTCTCTTCCATGTCTTGTTAGAATGAAAAATCTACTACTCCTGTTTCAAAGTCCAATACCCCTACTCCACGAACCGATGCACCCACTCCAGGCAGTAACTCCACTCCCGGATTGAGGCCTGTGCCTGGAAAACCACCGGGAGTCGACCCCTTGGGTTAGTAAGAAGGGTTTTCTGTGTATTTATGCTTCATGGTTTTAAAGACATGAAAGCAGTTTAAGCAGTGCATTACCGTAAGAGTAGTAATAACCAGCCTTGTAAAGCTGTTAGAGTTACTTACTTAACCTGAACCAAACGCCTTGATGATTTTTGGGAATATTACATAAAGCGAATTTGAGCCCCGGGCACTACTTTTCTTTAAGGTATATGTTAACGCCTTACTTCCTTATTGTCTCCCGAGTTCTTGGTTTTTCTATTCTCCTTTCATTTTGGTCTGTAGCCTCAAGCCTCAGGACCCCGATGGCAGTCCCTTGTCCGTATCCAACCCCATTCGGGATCGTGCCCCACGCCGGGATGAACGGGGAGCTGGCCAGTCCCGGCGCCGCCTATGCTGGGCTACACAACATCTCTCCGCAGATGAGCGCGGCCGCCGCCGCCGCCGCCGCGGCTGCCGCCTACGGGAGATCGCCGGTGGTACGTTTGTGGGCCTTCGAGAAACCAGCCCATCCCGTGGCTCACAGGATCGCCAGACGTATTTTTGAACGTACTATATGTAATTTGAGGTATTTGTAGAGGGACCCATCCTATCTGTAAATTAAACTACACACAGTTGTACGGTGAGATCCATTTCCTTTTCTAAGGAGAGGAAATGTCCTTGTTATTTTAGGTTTGCTTTTAATTTTAAACCTACAAGAGCAGAGCGGACGATCATGAATGTAGTGAACCCTGTGTTGCCCTTATAAGCTTCAAAAATTATACAGATAATTTTTTTTCGTGTATGTTACCCCGAAAATCATAAACATCCTGTCTTTTCATCAGTAGATCTGTCTGTCTGTATATCTCTAAAACCGTATTTAAGGTCTGTGTTCTCCCAAGACCTAGAGAGGTATTCAGTAGGCTGAGATGAGTTAATGTAACTGCATATGTTTTTGTTGTTTTGCTTGGGAAAATTGTAGGTTGGATTTGATCCACACCATCACATGCGCGTGCCAGCCATACCTCCAAACCTGACAGGCATTCCAGGAGGAAAACCGTGAGTACCCCTGAGCCTCATGCTCACCACCGTGTGCCAGACCCTGGGCCCTTGCCGGCCCTTTCGGCTGAGCACTGCTAGGCAGCGGGGGGGGAGTTCCTGGAGCTCAACGGTTTTTTTTTTTCGTTGCAAAGAATTTCCATTTTCTCTTCACACAAGGAAAGAAGTAATGAGGTGGAGTTTTGTATTTTCAATTTAAAATCTTGAGCTTCTAATATGGAAATGCAAATTACTGAGGCATCTCCAGCAGTCAGGTCTTCTCTACGTCTGTTACTGAATTCTTTTGTTGCCTTGAAAAAAACCGTCTTATGTGCAAACCTGGATGCTCAAAATTTGAGCGTGTTGGGAAAAGACGTGCCAAACTTCAAAGGCTGTGAGAAGAAAGAAGTGTGGTCTTATTATGCTCAATTGTGTTTGCGGAAAAGGTGGCTTTGCTCATTTGGCTTCTTGTCCCGTGAGCTGGATATTTGGAGCATCTGCATTCACAGTCCCCTTGAGTTATGAAGACAAGATGCACACATCAGTTTTTCCAGCCACTTCTTATACATTCTAATCTCTCACCATATTTCATTCCACATCCTTCATTTCAGTCCAGCGCACCTTTTTATTACTACCTATGCACGGTTCTCTCTGCTCTCTGGCTTCATCTTCCCAGATACAAAGACTTGACTACAAAATAACCCGCTCTTCCCTTAAAATCCCAGCTTCCTCTCTCCTCCGTTTGGGAAGCATCCCGCAGACCCTCCCTGCCTTACTAGTCACATGTGTGTATTTATGCTCCTGGCTCTTTCTGCTGGCATCCTGTCACCACACATGCTGTACCCACGCTGCTTCTCCAGGCTGGTGCTTCCTCCCAGCCCTCTGCTACCCACGCTTGACCCTCAGTAGCCTCGAAGTCCCTTTCCCCAGACGCTTCCTTGGTGGCTTGGCTGCCTCGGGGCATTTGCTCTTACTGGCCCTTCCTGCAGTACTTTTTCTGTGGCTTATTGTCTCACTTCAAAAGTGTCTGCTAAAATGTCACTTATTAGAGCATTCTTCCCTGCCAGCCCTATCTAAAAGAGCATCCTTCTCTCCCTTCCTCTCCTTATTGTTGTTCTCTTCTGCTGCCTGCCTTTTTTGTACTTGTCTGTAGCCGTGATCGGCCTCTCCCTGCTTGAATGTAAGTTCCATGAGAGCACAGAACAGAACTCTTTGCTATTCAGTTATAGAAGTAGCTCCGCTGCCTAGAGTGGTACCTGGTTCATAGTTGGTGCTCACAGTACATACTTTTTAAATGAGTGAGAGAGGGAGAGAGAGCGCACGCACGGTAGAGAGAGCATGCAGGTGGGCCAGCCAGTCTCTTTCTTCTCTGATCTCCCACTGCTTATTTATTCACTGCTATACACTCAGGCGCTTAGTTGTCACCGTGTTATTTCTTATGTGTAACTTCTTGGGTAACCTACTTCTGTACAGATCTATGCTAAACTTCCCTGTTGCATCAAACACAATGCTGGCTCCATAGCCAAGTTGCTCCGTAAATATTTGACTGATTAATAAGGGAGGCAAGGCAAATTAGACTTTAAGTTCCCTGAGAATTGAAGGTATAAATACCCATTACCATAAAATTCTGTGTACTTGTGTGTGTTCTGCAAATAGTTGTTGACTGACTTACAAGTCTTGTTGACCAAGAACTCTGATGTATTTGAAGGTGAAAGTTTGGTCTCTTTCAGGCAGTGACTAAATAACAAGGTCATAGGATTAATCAAATAACTCAAATACCTATGAGTTCCATATGAACCTGTGGGGATGGAGAGCTTTCCTTAGGGAAAAGGTATTATCCCATGTTCAGGTACTGCCTAGTTACCACTTGGTTAACTAGCTGTTTGCACCAGAGCTCTGGTATAAGCACTAGAGTGGTAGAGCTGGTGCTTCTCATCTCAGCTACTGCTCAGGGGCACAAGGGGTGAAGAGAGGTGAAGGGGTGTTAGGTGCCTGTGAAGAAGAATGACAGTCTTGGTTTAGCTTTGGGCCAACTGAACCACTGTCGAGTTAGAGCTGGTCTGATTCAGGAGGCACTTCTGAGCCTTGAGCTGGACTCCCTTCGTACCCCTAGTCTTGATTCTTAGCATTATAGAATTGTTGCGATCCTTTGGGGAAGGTTGATGGGTTTGAGGATGGTGGCAAATTTTCGTTCCGGGAGTGATAGAGCCACATCTCGTGCAGTTGGCAGATGACATTAGGAATCCCAGAGAGAGCATGGTGTGGTCGACAGTGAGTTCCGGAGTGTGACAGATCAAAATTTGAGTTTTTACTCTGCCAGTTGACAACTAGAAGACAGTTTCTTAACTTTGTGAGCTTCAACTGGCTCATCTGTAAACCAGGGATGGCACCTCCCTGACAAGCGGGGCGTAAGGGTGAGATAAGATGTTACATGTTTAGTCCTGTGTTTGGTGTATGAGGCTCTTTAGGTAACCGCAGCGTCATTTCCAGCTTAGCCTTGCCCCAGGGCATTCATTATCAGGTTTTCAACTGCTTACGCAACTGAACTGAACTGCATTTCTGTAGTGGGCAGAAAGGACCCAAGAAAATTCGATTGAGTAAATTAGTCTCCAACGTTCCTGTCATTGGTGTGTCTTATACAAGAGGGCGTCAAGACATGTAAATTCACATTCATTTATGCATATAGGGATAATATATTTTTATTACAGGTTTTTCAGAAATGATTATAACAGTTAGGTGGCTCTTCAGATCTTAAGATACAGAATTGTGAAACTTCATCTTGTGCGTGTTTTGACAGAAACAACTATTTTTTTTGTGCTAGAACATAAAACAAAATCACCTAAAGGCTTCCCCTACTACATACACAAAGTAAACTGCCTTTCTCCAGAAAGATTTAAAACAGCTGTGTATCTCTGTCCTAATTATTTTTACAGAATGAATTGCTAGATGTTATCAAAAGTTATAATTAAATGCGTGTCAACCAACTAATGAATAAAGTAGCGTTTATTTAATAATTCACACTGGGGCTTCTTGTCTATTCTGGTGAATTAGCAAGAGTTCCACTCAATTTGTAATTGGAATGACAGCATAGTTTAATTTCAACATAAGCCCAAAATGGACTTTTTCTCTCACCTGTTACTTTAATGAGACATCTATAAATAGTGTAAAACTATCCAATTAAAACCATAGTACTGATTATATTATGGGACATGGCATATGGATGCAGCCGTGACAGAAGAGCTCAGGTTTGTTGGTTTGGGGCTGCTCACAATTCCGAAATTTTTCCCTGTTCTGTTTGTTTTTATAAAGCAGGATTTTTCAAAATAGGAACAATGCTTGACACACAGCAAACCCTTAACAATTATTTGTTGCTTGGCTGACCTACTAGTGGGTTCATAGGCTACTTAGAACCTGATTTTCTAGCATACTTTATAAAGTACAATGGCCAGACCTTTTATTGTGAATTCAGGGTCTAGTCCCATCTCGTGAGACATTGAAAACTTTGGAGAAAGTGTTGCAAAGTATGAGAAAGATGAGTGCAGTATTACAGAACTGGGCCTTTTAGAGCGGGTAAATGAGGTCGGGGTGGGAAGGCCAAGGACCTTCTTTAAATATGCTGAGTTTTCATCGAAAGAGGATGATTCAGATAAAATAGCATCTTCAGGGCACATGTTTTAAAAAGAGCGATTTGCAGATGCCTTGATTGTTTGAAGTGTAGTTCTGTCACAGAGTCCTAGCTGTTTCTGTTCTCTTTACCATCTTCCTTAGAGAGCTCTTAGTGCTTTCACCTCCTGCGCGCACACGTGCTTGTGCTTGTGCTTGTGTGTGTGTGTGTGTGTGTGTGTGTTTTGGAAGAGTGCACGTCACTGTATTCTCTGGTTCCCTGCACCCTCTCTCTCTAGCCCTACAATAGTAGTTATTTGCTGGACATCTCAGATATCTTGAGTGTGTATTACTTGCACTTCAGAGTCATCATATCATGATGCTTCTTCCCCAGACTAGGTCTTCTCCCACATTGCCCATCAGGACTATTGGTATTTTCGTCCTTGTTTCCTAAGCTCAGAAACTCAATAATTATTGGCTCCTTCCTCACATCTCATTTGTTAAGTCCTGCAGAATTTTTAGTGTCTTCCTTGACCTAGCCTAGTTCAGGTCCCCCATTACCTTGCATCTCGATTATTGGAATAATGGTCTCTTTCTCCTCCTACCCATTGTATTCTTTGCGATCAAATGTATTCTGTCAGTTGCCCCAGTAGTGTCCTACCTATTCTCCCTCCAAAAACCTTTTAGTGAATTCTGTGGAGTTCTCAGGCTGGCATTGTAGGCCCTCCCTTTCTACAGCCCTCCCTTCTCTAGCAGATAGATAGCAATCTGTGTGGGGGGGGTGGGCGGGTAGTATAAATGTATATATTCCTGATACATTTGATCAGACTGTGCTCAGGCCAGCTCCTCTAACCACTTAACCACAGGGTTGTTATTGAATAAATGAATCCTTGGATCAAAACCAGTCCAGAAATTTCCATTATCGTACCCCATCCTTTTATAGAGCCCTTGCTCTCTGCTGTTTCTGCATCCCCCACCCCGGAATTGTTTTTCCGTCTTCCGCCCTCTTCGGTGAGATTCCCTCCATTCTGCAAAACCCATCTCTAGTACCATGTCACTATTGAAACGTAAGCTTTGTCTTTTCTTTTTGAACCACCACAGAACTTGTACTTCTCATCTTCCACCTGGTACCATGGCCATTTCTGTGCTTTTCTCATCACACTTCCTAGATTAGAAGCCACTCGGGGGCAAGGCCAGTGCCTTACCTCATTTTATATTCTTAGCACGATGTCTGTATCCAAGCGTGTGGCTAAGAGGCCTTACTGATACATTTAATCTGGTAGAAAAAGAACAGTTCTTCAAGCCTGGGTTTCTGATTTCTAGAAAGGTTGGCTTTCGTTACACATTCCAGTACACCTTGCCAACTACACATCAAAGTTAGTTGAGATCTGATAATCTACTAGAGTTTTATTTTTTCCAGTCCTGAGTATCTTACATGTACCGATAGCAAACAGAGGACCACGTTATAGCCTTAATGCAAGTAGGCTCTTGACGTTCTTGTTAAAGGGAGTTCCAGGAACATAGTAGGTGCTCACAGAGTGGTTGTGGTTGAGTTGAAGAATGTCCATACCAAAAACCTCGAAAGAAATCGTGTGTCTGGTTTCTTAACTATTTAAATTCTCAATGCTCTTTAAAAACCACTTAGTGATACTAGAGAGGAGGGATGGCTTTTCAAGTAAATTATCATTAAGAATGTATAACACCATCTAAACTTGGAATAACCTTCCTCTTCCTTCCTTTAAGATTTAGTCCTCATGACCTCTTTAATTGCTAAATCAATTAGCCTTTTCCTCCATCGTCATCCCTCAGAGTCTCAGCCTTTCTCTGCGGGCGCTGCTGCTTTCCCCTCCTTGCCTGTTGACACCTGGCTTTCTCCCATGGGGACCCCTCCACCTGCAGCTCTCTGAGGGGGTGCCCCTTCATTTGTTTCATATCCTGAAATCCTCAGGGCCAGTGATGGAGTGATAAAGGCTGTATCATCCCCTCCCCACCGCCACCAGTCTTTCCTAGAACTGAACTCCTCAATATTTTTGTGAAACCTCTGCCCTTTCAGGCTTGTGTCATTGGATTCTACCCATCCTTACAAACCTTGTTGGGGGATCTCCCGCTTATTAAAGCCTTGACACTTGGCTTAGGGTCTGCCTTCCCTCAGAGCCTGCCATCATTCTGGGTGACTCTGGTGTTCACAAGGTCAGCCCCCAGTAACCTCGTCTTGGGGCTTGGACCACGTCGACTGTAGCTGTCCTTCTTGCCTTCAGTTACCTCTTCACAGGCTCACGAGGAAAGTCTCATCCCCGCCCTTCACTCTGTCACTTTCAGAACCCCGATGTCCCGTCCAGCGCAGCCTTCTGTCCTTCTCTCCTTCCACCCAGCCGGAGTGAGCTTTTAAATTGCACATCTGTTTCAGCTGTCTCACTGTCTCCCAGGCCCAGCCCCTGGCTTCTCCCCTCGATTACTGCACAGACCTCCTGTCCAGTGATCCTTTTCCTGTTCTGCCACCTAGAACCCATTCTTCACCCAGCAGCTAGAATGACACTTAGAAAACATTAACCAAATCCTGTCCCTCCCTGCCCAGAAGTCCCAGTGACTTCCCATTCCACCCAGGATGGTATCCACATTCCTCATCTCAGGCCGCCAGGCCCTTTTTCCTGCTGCCCTCCGTCTGTCTCCAGGCTGCCGCTCTCCACTGAGTGTGCATTTCCGTTCTCTCTTGGTTCTGCTCTAGGGACTCTGCTTTGTTCCTCTACCTGGCACATTCCACATTCCCCCCTCGATGTGTGCAGGGCCTGCATCCTTTCTCCTTGGCTCCGCTCATGTGGTGCCTAGACCTGTGTACCGTGTGTGTGTGTGTGTGTGTGTGTGTGTGTCTCGGCATCTGATGGGGATCTGAGGTTACTTACTTTTCTGCTTATATATGGAATCTGCTTTCCCTTCTAGATGTTGGCCCTGGAGGATACGGACTTCGTCTACTTTGTTCGCCCCTGATTCCCCAGCACCTAATAGTACCTGGTTCATATTAGGCATTTAATAAATAGTTTCTGACTAAATGGATACTAAGCATTCTGTCTCACTCTGGCCTTCATATTTGCCATACCCCTCCCCTTCACACCATCTTCGTCTTTCTATCGAAGCCCCATTGCCTCACTCTGTCAAATCCCACAGTACCAGGCATGTCCGCTGTTCATCGCATTGACCGTCTGACATTTTTATATTTATTTATGTGAATATCTCACTAGTGAATCCACCCCTCTACCCACCTGCCGCCTACTCCCATAGGCTGTAACCTCAGGAGAACCAGGGATATGGGTTTTTTCTTTCTGTTGTAACCCCAGTCATGCTAGTACGGTGCTTGGCACTCGGGGGTACCCAAGAACTACGTGTTGGATGGTTGAATCTCTTAATAAGTTGTCAAGCGATTGACTGTCTTCCCCCATCCCTGCACTTCATTGTCACTCTCGATTGTCCGTGTCTGACTGCTCTTGCTGGAGGTTCCTTAGATGTTAGCGGTCCCCTAGATCCTGCATCTAGTCTGCTCACTGCATAATCTGCTACAGCATTATTGTTTCTGCTCCCTTAGCTTCCACTGTCACTTCTTAGTCGATAAGCACACATTGTCTTTCTAACCTACCCTCTCACCTGAATCACAGCACTCAGCTTCCTGTTGAGTTGTTGGGATTCCCGACTGCCCTCAAATTGAAGAAAACCAAACCATTTAGCTCCTCACATGCGTACCTTGCGGTCGCGTGTCCCCATCACTTCACTAACGTGTCGTGGTCCACCTGAGTCACTCGGGTCCTGAGCCTTAGAGCCCTCCTCCGCGCCTCTCCCCCAGTCACATGTCCAGTGTGTCTCCAAGTCCTATGGATTGGACCGAGGAAATGTCTTCTGCCTCTTGTCTCCCCAGCTTCCACCTCCTTCCCCCTCAGCCATCCGGCATACTGTGTTTCTGCTGCAGGCCGGGTCCATGCCTCTCTCTCTTGTTGATGGAGAAAGAAAAAGCCCTCCACTGCCTGCCACCACATCTTCCCCAGCCACATACTTGCGTCACCCCTCCTGGGGACAGTCGGGGTGATGAGGGCCCCTCAGTAATGGGCTGAATTTTGATGAATGTGGCTAGCCTGTAGCTTTTTGCATTAAGGAACCATAAACTGTTTTGATTCTAAAACTTCCCTGATAGGTCCAAGCTCCAACCCTTTGTGTACCCACAGATGCTTTCCCTTGGTATGTCTTTCATAAACTTCGTCCTATAAACAGAGCACATTCCAAAGCTTCATGCCAAAGCAGAATGACATAATTTCCGAAATGGGCTATTGCCCATGATAGAAGACAGGCCCAGCTCCCTCCCCCCACCCCTGCATCACATATTCTCACTGATGTGCCCTTCCTGACTTCAGCGCCCTGAGAATAGAGATCTCTTGAGGGAGATGTTTAAACTGAAGTTGCATTTTAGAACCAAATGTTTTCATAAGTGTAGAGCTTTCCCTGGAGATGAACTGAAGTTGGAGCTGATGATAGGCACTCACAGGTGGGCCTTTGGGGTAGTCCCACAGGATGCCTTTTACAGGTCTTAATTTCATTGGGAATTACTTGAATTAGTGATTGTCAAGTCTGATAGGACTTATTCTGGTGTGTGTGCGGGGGTCACAGCTGTCGTTTCACCATGTAGGCCTAGAGACTCTTAACTCCTTAAAGCTTGATCATTTTGACTCATTGATCTCCATTAGTAAATCACTTGATTGGGGTGAATTCATATACAGGTGGAAATCTCATCACAGGCTTCTGAGTCACCCAAAGTAGAAAACAGGGCAAGTTTGCAGAGTGCCCTGAAGGAGTAGGTACTATACTAGACGTTGGATATCTTATGTAATTCTCTGTGAAATAGAGGTAACATTCTCTCCCTTTTAAAGATGAGAACTGGGGTTCAGAGAGGCTCAATAACTACTTATGTCACACAGGGGTTAGTGAAGAGTCGACCTGACACTTGATCGTAGATCTAGCTCTGTGACTCTGAAAATTATGTTCTTTCTACTGTACCAGGTAAATTTGACTTATTTGCAAATCATAAGTAGCACTGAAAATGTTTTCTTTTTCATCTCCTTACACTGATCAGTTAACTTAACATTTTTTACCTTCCCCTCTTCCTATTTTTTCTCCTCCCCACTACCTTAGAGCATACTCCTTCCACGTTACTGCAGACGGTCAGATGCAGCCTGTCCCTTTCCCCCCCGACGCCCTCATAGGACCTGGAATCCCCCGGCACGCGCGCCAGATCAACACCCTGAACCACGGGGAGGTGGTGTGCGCCGTGACCATCAGCAACCCCACAAGACACGTGTACACGGGCGGGAAGGGCTGCGTCAAGGTCTGGGACATCAGCCACCCCGGCAACAAGAGCCCCGTCTCTCAGCTCGACTGTCTGGTGAGCGAACATGGAGGAACAAGGCTTACACCTTCATTCAGAAAATGGGATGGGATAGTGAGAGACTTGGTTGGACAAGCAACATGTGGAATTGATCCCAAGTGGGTAGTTGTCTTCGGTGGTTTGTGGCCCTTCACGTGGAGACTTAGAGCGCTGATGAGGAGGCATGTCTTTCATTTCCTCAGGCAGAGTTATCCCGTTCTTGATGCACGTGCCCCAGTGCAGCTTTCCTGAACCATGCCCAATGCCTGGGCCCAGGCTCGCTACCTGTTTTCCTGTCTGATAAGAAAAGTAAAAGCCCAGGAGGGTTTCTGTGAGAGTGCACCTGACTCTCAGTCTGTCACGTGGTGAGACCAGAGTAACGTCACACTTCGCGGGCAGACACTAGACTATCCCCTTGGCTGTGTCTTGGGCATTTGTCCTTCCGTCACTTACAGAACATTCAGGTGGACGTTCTTCCTTAGACCAGCAGTGGAATTTTTGCTGCTGCACGGTGTTAGGTCAGTTTAACATACTTGATGTACCCAACTTGCCCAGATCCTCACAAGCTGGGAGGGCCTTTCCCCCCGCCCCGTCCCTTAACACTCCTTGACCAAGTTTTGCCTCCAGTTGATGCTGCTTGATCAGCCGCCGCTGCCCGGGACTGCGCGTGCTCCTGCGTTGGTGCGTGCGCGTGCGTGGGTGTGTGTGTGCGCGCACGCACAAATGAGTCAGGCAGCCGGGTGATGTGGTGGTGGTGGTGGGAGTTGGGTCTAGATCTTTGCATTTTCATGCTAATTAAGATTAAATATCTCAGCACTAAATTTGTAGATCAAGTTTAAGTACTTCCCTAATTTCATGTAATTTTCTAGCATTAATCCACTTTATCATTGTCATAAGTAAAAATGGCTCATTAAAACAAGGAGGGAACACAATACTTTTATGGATTTCTGCTCTCATGTTAATGCTGTTTTCCTTTCCTCATGAGTGATCTCTTGATGGTTTTTGTCTCTACAGAACAGGGATAACTACATCCGTTCCTGCCGATTGCTCCCTGACGGTCGCACCCTCATCGTGGGAGGGGAGGCCAGTACTCTGTCCATCTGGGACCTGGCGGCTCCCACCCCGCGCATCAAGGCGGAGCTGACGTCCTCGGCCCCCGCGTGCTACGCCCTGGCCATCAGCCCCGACTCCAAGGTCTGCTTCTCGTGCTGCAGTGACGGTAACATCGCCGTCTGGGACCTGCACAACCAGACGCTGGTGAGGTGGGTCAGCAAGATCCCTGCCCAGGGCACGCAGGGGAGCCGATTTTACCGCTCTGTGCCAAGGAGCTGTGTGTTTGTCTAAAATGGTGAAATAGAATTCTCCTACTAAGAAGTGTTAGGGACAGGCTCCTTTTAAAGGTGCTAGCAACAAATTACTAACGTAAAATCTTACTTTCTGCACTTTTGAACTTAGCAAATGAGGGGTTGTTTTCTTTCTTTGCTTTTTTTGGACATTATCCTAAGCATCATCAATTTAGGTTTTTAAAAAAATGAGGTCATTTTTACATAATGTACATTGTGTTCTCATGACCTCATGAGCTCGTTAGACGTCTGTAATTTGCCATCTGTGTTTGCTAACCAACCGTCATTGTCGATAGACACTCACCGAGAAGATTGATAGCACAGGGCACTGTCTTCTGTGCCACATGTATCCCACATGTGTCTTCCTTCAGCAGATCATCACTGAACCCCTGCCACGGGCCCAGGCATTGTGCTTTACTCTGAAATGGTCTAGATTATCTGTAATCCCGCCATTAAGGATGGGTCAATGCACTGAGATGTCTGCTTAGAAGTGAAATTGTATGGGATCGGTGTTGATAGGTAATGCCCTGAAACGAGTCTCCCAATGTCAGCACCTGAGAGAGCAGGAAGCAAGAGGGATGATCTGCTGAAGGGTGTGAGAAGGTTGTAATCAAATCTAGCCGCAAGTCAAGGGGAGTATGTGAGAAGAGGCCTCTGCTGGCCATCTGTCAGATATTTTGCAGGACTGAGCTCTATGTACGATTCCAAAAACAAAGTAGTCGTCATTTGTTTCATCTTGGGTAAGGCTCTTACAAGGAACTGCTTCTAATCTCTTCTTTTCCCAGTGTCTTTTGTACATTCTCCCAGCTCCTGGGGCAGCTGAGCCACCCTGAGTTTCTTTCCATGTGCCTTACGTGAGAGCGTGGCCTGTTCGTTGTCTTGCACGGCCTGCTACGTTTGCATTGCTGTGCACTGGCGAAATCTGCTCTGCTGCTCCCGTGCGCATCCCCATAGCTTTTGTAGAAGGGAGAATATAACGTGCCTTACAGCCTTTCAAATCCTTTCCTTCGTATTACAGTGATAAAATAGGTCTTAGATGTATTTTTGATTAGTTCATATACATACAGCTGTGTGTTTTCTTTTGTTTATTTCAGTTGGAGATTTTTTTTTTCCATTGGTTATATCAGTCGTTTTTTGGTATGAGAGTCAGAGTACTTCCTAAGTGTTCAAAAATAAAAAGTGCAGGAAGTTCAACATCTCAATTAAACCTGAATCTCTCTACGTGTATCCTCTGTTATTTGAATAATTAGAAAACAGTAAACCCAAGTGAAATCTATAAATAAGGCCTGCAATGAAACTGATCCCTGAGTTCTAAATTTTTTTTTATTGAAGTATAATTAACATTCAGTGTTACATTAGTTTCAAGTGTATAAGATAATGATTCAACAGTTCTGTGCATGACTCAGTGCTCATCACGATACGTGTACTCTTAATCCCCTTCATCTGTTTCACCCATCCCCCCACCCACCTCCCCTCGGGTAACCATCAGTTTGTTCTCTGTATGAGTCTCTTTGTCTGTCTCTTTTTTCTTCGTTTGTTTTGTTTCTTAAATTCCTACAGATGAGTGAAATCATATGGCATTTATCTTTCTTTGACTTATTTCGATTAGCATATACTCTGTATCCCTCCATGTTGTTGCAAACAAGGACTCATTCTTTTTTATGGCTGAATAATATTCCATTGTATATGTATACCACATCTTCTTTACCCATCTATTGATGAACACTTGGGCTGCTTCCATGTCTTGGCTATTGTACATAATGCTGCTATAAACATAGGGGAGCATACATCTTTTCGAATTAGTGTATTTGTTTTCTTCGGGTGAATATCGGTCATGGACTCACAGGATCATATGGTAATTCAACTTTTAATTGTTTGACGAACTCCACACTGTTTTCCACAGTGGCTAACCAACGAACTCGGAATTGAGTTCACATAAAAACTAACTTTTCAAAGGTTTGCCCTCCATTTTGACATTTTCAGGCAATTCCAGGGCCACACAGACGGGGCCAGCTGTATTGACATTTCTAACGACGGCACCAAGCTCTGGACGGGCGGCCTGGACAACACGGTCAGGTCCTGGGACCTGCGCGAGGGGCGGCAGCTGCAGCAGCACGACTTTACCTCCCAGGTACGGGCTTGGGCCCGGGACACTTCGGAAGACACGGGTTTGTGACACGTATGACAGACGTTACCATGTAACAAAGTCACTTTTGACTCTAGGTTAGATAACTGGACGTTGTATTGTTTTCTGTCAAAACACAGTAATATGTATTAAAGGATTAAAAAAATTATCATAAGCTTTTAGCAGGTTTTTCCTTCAAAGACCATTAAATGATACTGTGCAGATGTATCGCGTTACTTTGGCATCACCCATTTGGCTGTGATTTCTTCTTGTACAGTTCAAATCATCCGGACTTCCCTCACAATTTCAGTAGTATCCCAGAAGAAGTAGTACCTCCCAGGGAGAGGCAGTGTGTCTTCTGTAGGCACCCTCACTCTGAGCTGTTTTAATCGTAGATCTTTTCTCTGGGCTACTGCCCTACCGGAGAGTGGCTGGCCGTGGGGATGGAGAACAGTAACGTGGAAGTGCTACACGTCACCAAGCCGGACAAATACCAGCTGCATCTCCACGAGAGCTGCGTCCTGTCGCTCAAGTTTGCCCATTGCGGTAAGCCGTCGCCCCCGTCCATTTCCTGTCCGTGAGAGTCGCTCCGTCTGCCCTCCCGCGGGTGCATCTGCGCGCCGCTCCTGTGGTTTGGGAGCGTGTCCCTCTTGGAAAGTACATACGTCTCTGCGTCACTAATGCCGTGTGCCAGTCCACTCACTCTTATTGTAAGGATAAATGACTCACTAAATCTAGGACAGGGAGCTTTATGTTTCCAGCGAAAAGAAACTTTTGTTGCAAATTAGAACAGTCTTCTGTGAATAGTTTGGTGCTCTGTAAAGCAAATCTCCGGTCTGACAGAGTACCACGAACAAAACCTTTTTCCACACTCTCTTTCTGTAGGCAAATGGTTTGTAAGCACTGGGAAGGACAACCTCCTGAATGCCTGGAGAACACCTTATGGGGCCAGTATATTCCAGGTAACACTTGCCTTGTTCAGCTCCCACTTACTGCATGCTCCCTGCATGGTGGCGGTTTACCCAAACTCTCTCTGTGTATTGTCAGGTTATTAAGACTCCTAAGTGTCCGAGGAGGTAGGGCAAGAGAGAATACCTTGCCTCAGAGAGGCTAACGTCACAGCCACATGCCGTAGAGCTGGGGGGTGGTCCCCTTTTCGAGCCCAGAGCCAAGACACTGCCCATTGCATTAACCAGCTCTCCGTGCCTCAGTCCCATTTATACACTAGAGGTTTTACGTCCTCTGTGATTTGTGTGTGTGTGTGTTACGTCTTTAACATGCTTCTATTTAAAAAGTTTGAGCGTTTTGCCTAAATACTCTTATTAGTATTGTTATTTCTTTGATTTTTCTTTCCAAAGAAGTGTTAATGAAAAGTTTAGCAAACCTTGATTAATTTCAGAAACGTTTATTCTTACTGACTCAGTGGTACTTCGTGTAATGCGTCAGATTACTTGTAGGAGGACCAAATGGTAGACGTGATCAACATGCGCACACACACAGTCTCTGTGCTCTCTGGCTGGTATGTGGTTAAAGAACACTCCTCTTTTTTAACCTACACTTCGGATGTTATTTTTTTAGGTGTGTTTTGGTGTGTGTTTGTGTGTTTGTGTGTGTGTGTGTGTGTAAGGAATAACAACAGATTTGCAGTTTTCTTGACTGAGTAGTATTTTGTCATCAGAGTAGGTCAATGCAGTTAAATCCAAAAATACATATATTGAGTGAAAATACTGTGCAAGGTAATCAGTAGGACAAAAATAGTTGATTCTTGCTGTCATGAAGTTTATAATTGAATACAACATATATTCTTGGTATTATGGGTCACAACCTTTCTGGTGGTTCCAACCAGGACTAAAAAAAAAAAAAAAAGAAATACAAAATCTTAGAGTGGATCTTTTATAGTAAGTTTGGATCTTTTATAGTAAGTTTAAGTGTTGTATCTTATGTGTATACTGGGTTATGAGATAAAATGGATTAATTACAGGTTACTGTCAAAGAAGTTTGAGAAACACTGGTAGTGGGTTAGCATCTGCATGTCAGGCATTAATTTTTTAAATGTTCAGAGTTCTGGTTAAAATCCTGCGGCGTTAGTTTGTTGAGTACAGTTCAGTTAAAAGTGGACATTGAACCCCTTGTAGTTGGTGTAGTTGAACATGGTATCCAGGACTCTTAAGTATGGAACATTTCTCTAACTGTCAAACTCCTCCCCACTTGGAGATTGCATCCTTTTTTCACACAGGAGAAAATTTGGCTTTCTATTAGAAATAGTTTTACATGCCCAATTTCAAAAAATGTAGTGTTTTCCATGCCATTTTCCACTTGAACTTGGAGGCAACTTGCTGAGGTGGCAGGCAGGTAGAGGTCTTTACCTGTTCATAAGGTGGGAGGCTCGCCCAGGTGAAGTGATGTGTCTGGTGATCTGCAGCTCGACCTCCATCCCGGCCATGTGACTGAGGTGGAGGACGGTTCATGCTAAGAACAATCTCTCTGCTCTTCCCTGTCCGGAGAAGAGGATTAGAAACCAGGCCTTGCTTCTTGAGAGCACAGGTGCTTGTCTAGCCGGCTTGCCTGCCACCTGATGTCCCGGGCACAAGAGCCCGTGGCCCAGCGCCGTGAGGGGTCCCTGGCAGTGTTCTGGGCCGCCCCCATGTTAAGCGAGTGCCGGGACTGTCTTGCCTGGCTGGCTGCTTCTGTTTGGACAACGGGACACGTTCACGCTTGTCTTTGCTCTGTGTCTTCCAGCCCCGCCTCATGGGTTTTTCTTTCAATAGTTTACATTTGTGTTTGTTTCTTTCCTAGTCCAAAGAATCCTCATCGGTGCTTAGCTGTGACATCTCTGTGGATGACAAATACATTGTCACTGGCTCTGGGGATAAGAAGGCCACGGTTTATGAAGTTATTTATTAAGGACAAATCTTCATGCAGACTGGACCCCTTCTCCTTGTAGCACTTTGTTCTATCATCCTCTTCCCCCTGCATCTAAAACCAAGGATTTCAAATACTCATTGCAGTTGTGGAGTTTAACCCCGTCTCTCACCCCCACTTCCTCCTTGCTATTGAATTGTGAATACTCATTAAGAACCTGTGATACCAAATCTTCAGCTCTCTACTTGGAAGAACATGGAATAACCATACTTAACAGTGATGGAATCTTTAATTATGTATTATAGCTGTAATATATTTATTTTGTTTAAAGAAGGCTTTCTAACTTTGACTTAATAAAGCTGTCTGCTCCTGCATTGATAATGAAGATGCGTTGTATTTGATACCCCTCCCCCCTTTTTTTGCAAAGGAGGGGAAAGGAAGGTTTAAAATAATTGATGAAAAATGTCACTAAATGTAGACTAAGGACTGTATAGAGATGTGAAATGTATAATTACATATGGAAGCAATATGTTGCTGTGTTAGATTTTCTTTGTTTCTGTTTTCTAGTTATTTTAAATGTTTGGAAATTTGAACAATTAGAACATGACAGGCCACGTCGTATTCATTTGAGTCTATTTGGACAACTTTAACCAATATATCTATAGCTTTAGATTCTATTTGATAAAAGTAATTGGACTTTTTCTTTTTTTTCTTTTTTGACTTGTTGACAAGTGTCTTTGTAATAAGTTTTTAATTCCTTTTTTTTATTGTATTATAGACAGATGAACAAATTAAATTTGGCCTAAAGAGAGAACTTAATCCCTTCTGGATATTTTTGCCACGTTTCTTTGCAAAGGGAGATGTATACCTTTGGGCAGTTTTGTCATTACGAGAAATTATGGGCTATTTTTTGGCATGTTCTTTGGGAACTGCGCAGATTCAGGGGAGGAGTCCTCCTGCTGTGCAAGTCAAGCCTTTTACAAAATAAGGACAGCAGAGGAGATTTGCAAGGACCTCCCTCTGAAAACCAGAAAGAATGGACTCTCACCTGGGATGAGGACTTGCTTTCTTTACCTCCGGTTCTTTCCCTGTCTTAGTTGGATGTCCCCGAAATGGACACAGGCTGTGCCTATTGTGCCAGAAACATTGTGTTACCTTTTATGTTGTTGTTGTTGCTGTTCAACTATGATATGTGACTCCTTTTTTTATTATTTTTTTTGTTTGAATGCTTTAAAAATCTTCTAAGTCTGTGGATCTGCTGATGTACAGTGCCTTTGCTGCTATGGATCAAAATCAAGAGAACTGTGTAGATAAACTTTATTGTATAAGTAGCAAATTACTTAATTTCATACTAGAAATGGATGGATGCTGCAAGTTGAAATGGACTGTCCATTGACGTTCCTAATGTGGTAGCAGAAAAAAAAAAACGGTGTCTTAAGTGCTTAGTGTTTGATGTCATTAACAGTTTCGTAAAACTCTACAGTGTAGAAAGATTTTGATACTAAACTGTGCATTGTACATAGTTCTAATGCATCGTATTGACCACCAGTACTTCTATAATGGTAGATTGTTTGTGCATTCAGACTTTTAAGCATTAAACATAAATAACTTCTAGAATGCTTATTTCTAATTCTTTGTTTGGCTGGCTTTCGTTTATTTTTGGTCTTTGACTATGCCACTCCCATATACTAAAAATTACTAGTTTCATTCAAGGGAGACTGGTGTTAAAGTCACTTGGGCTTTATTATTATTGCCTTTTTTAGTTTTGTTTTTATTTTCAAGAACTAGAAGGGAGAGCAGATGGAGGTTATCAAGGACCGGTTGCTAGTAAATATTTATCGAGTGCCTCTCTGGTTTGTAAAAATCCCGTCTGTCACGTTACTCAGGTGCGTTAGAGCTGCACTGTTCAATGTGGTTGCACTAGCCATTTGTGGCTATTTAAATTTAACTCTACTAAAATTAGTTTGTTTTTTTTTTTTAAGTAAGTTGATTGGTCACAGTAACTGCATTTCAAGTATTCAGTAGCTGCATATGGCTAATGGCTACCATATTGGACTACTCAAATTTATAGAACACATCCAGCATCACAGAAAGTTCCATGGGACCAGCGCTGCTTTAGAATTAGCCTACACATACTGTTTCCAGCCATTTGGGTTTGGGAAACATGTCGAGTGTAATACACAGGAGTCGTTGAAAGCATGAAGCCCATTGGTCTGCTGCTGGTGGGGTGTGTGAAGATTGAGCATAAGAAGGTGCTTAGAGAATTCTAAATTCCCGAGACTCGAAAATCTGTCCTTTTTAAGGGATCCACTGGGTAGAAAGAAGGCTGGGGTTGGGGGCCGTGGTCTAGAGTGTGTGCTCAGTGATCAGCTGTAAGAGATTCTGACTCTTCAGATTCCCAACTTGAGCGGTGTGCACCAGTGGGGTTGGAAGCAGCACTTCAGATGTGAGTACTGTGAATGCTACTACTCCAGACGATGACATTTTAAAGGATTCTTAACTCAATATCTGTGCATCCTTACTAAAATATCTTTTAAAATATAGAGGTTTGGAGTAAAAAAGTCGTTTTGGTACAAAGAATATGACACCCATACCGTGTTTACACCTCTAGAAGGAGAACATGCCTGCCTTAAGGAGATAGAATGCCCCTTTGGTGCCTGGTGGTCAAGTCCCTTTAGGGAGACCCAACATTGGCCATTGAGATGAATGCATATATAGACCTAGCTTTCTTAAATTAATGGCCATCAATTTCCTCTCACTGCTGAGGTTTTATCAGATTAGATTTTTATGTCTTTGATATAAATCTCAGACCTAGATTGATCTACACAGAATTCTTGATGTTGTAATTATAACTTGTTACCATAGTTTTTGCTCCAAGTATGGTCTCTCAGAGTCTAAAGAACAACAAAGATAGGAATCACCTGGGAGCAGAGACAACTTGGTTCCAGTCAAAGAACAGTGGTGTAGGACCGGAAGACAGACTCACATAGAACTACCAAGAAATAGAAACTCAGATTGAAGAAGCCATCAAGACTTTCCTAAGATTGGCAGATAAAATGTAGAATGAGAAACTCCAAGATCTTTCAAGTTTTTACACATACACCCTCCCTCAGGCCACTACTTACAGCAGGGTGGTTTCACGTCCAGTGAGCTGCCAGAGGTCCAGCCTTGTCCTGGAGGGTGTATGCTGAAACTAACTGCAAGCCTGTAATACCTGCAGGGGGTAGGAATTATGCAGCCACGAGATACGGAGAAACTCCGTTTTAAACCATCTCATGTAGCCACGAAATTCTGGAACCTTACAGCCAAAAGCAGGGAGATTGATGCCCCCCCCAGTTAGAAGGCAGTGTTCCGGACTGAGACGTGCACACGTGAGCAGCGAGACCATCAGTGATACCCTCAACTATCAGCTGGGCTGTTTGCATCCTCAATCTGGATGATCTCAGCAGAGCTGTATAACCCGGAAACAAAAAGCCCGACTAGGGTATTTGTCATTCAGTAATTTTGGCAGTTGTAAGGAAATTTGTACTGGGATTCCTTGCCCAGCATCAAGAAATTACAAAGTTAGGAAGATGTTGGTACAAAAAAAAAAAAAAAAAAAGCCTTGATGTTCTTGGAGGCTCACGTGCGTAGCTGTCCAGCTCCTGGACCTGTAGCGTGGCATTCAGCAATGAGCTCTGGGTCCTGCAGTCCCTCAGCAGTAGACGCGGCGCCTCAACCATCCTGTTCTTCTGATCTAACTATTCATTTGCCTGTCAATTACAACTTTGATTCAGAGCTGACAATGGAAATGGCTCCGTTTTGGTAACCCGAGCACATCAGAAAACCTCTGGTGTATCACACTTTTTAACAACAATGCTACCATAATGGTAGGAACTCTCACTCATTATAAGCTGCTATCAACATCTTATTGTAGTTTTGTTTGGGTTTTTGGCAGCAAGTGACAGACTCTTTTGGGTCCCAGATAGGAATTAGTGAGGGAACTGGTCTCTGGTTCACCTCTCCCCAGGGAAGGAAATTCTCCACTGGGATCTTAGGTGTTTGGCCTGTAGGGAAGGAGAATTCCTGCAGGGCTGCCTTTAGTCCAAAAGAAAATCAAGAGTACAAGTGTTTTCACAAAAAATTGTCCTGTTTGGTCTCATAGCAGTATAGACAGACTGGGTGCCAAAATACTGAATTTACACAAAAATGCACACGGGATCAGAGAAGAAAATCAATTACCCAAATCCCTTATCTCCCAAAGAGGACAAGCTGATCTGAACCCCAAGGCTCCAGACTTGGGGGTTGGAATTCTGTGCCATCTGCCCAGTAGGGCAGATTTGGGAGCGTTACAGACACCCACCTTGCTGCTCTCTGCCCGTCAGTTTCCCGCAAGCTACCTGACTTGGGATTTCAGCATCACAGAACCTCTTGAGAACTTAATCACGAATCGTCTTTTGAGTCCCTGTAACGTGTGTGCCTACTGTGGACTGTGGTACATACAAGGCAAAAGCCCACTTGCGGCCACGTACACTTACCCAAGCGCGACCCTCAGGACCTTGGTGACCCTGGGCGTCTTAGTGCCTCTCCCATTCAAGTGACATCATGGCTTGATGAGAACATTCATAACTAACAAGCTTTATGTTACTTTGGAGGAAGACTTAAATTCACCTAAATGTCATGCTTTAATTGACTTGAGCCCAGCCTAATTAACACACACCAGAAGGTACCTGTGAGCTATCTGGATTTTGAGAATTTAGGCAGTAGGTGTTTGGACTCTAGGTGTTCAAACTAATGCCCAAGTGGTTTTTAGCCACCCAGCATTTCTCCACAGAGACTTGTAGGTAGACCTAGTTGGCCATTTCCCAACCTACTAGATATCTCCACAGCTGCTTCCAAAAAAATACTATCAGAGGTAGTAGTGTCATGTGGCAGGAAGTATGAGGTGAGCTGGACATTTTGTTCTCCCAGGAGGCTGGGAGGTAGCAGAAGAATGAGTCATGGTGGGATCTTGGTCAAAGAGAATGCTTCCGGCCTTGGTGTCATGAGGGCTCCAGCAGAGAAAACTCAGGCCAACCATGTGCCTGCCCTTCCTCCTTATAGGGACAGGAAGAGGCACCAGCAGGAGTCGTTGTCAGGGACGGAGTGAGACCCCTGGACCACCATGCATCGAGCAGAGGAGTTTTCCTGAGGACGACTTCCTGTTATTTGAAGAACTTCAGTCGGATGCCTCTTTACCTCAGGAGTTGAGCTTAAACACAATCCATCTCAACATCTATGAAGTCTGCTTTCAGCATCATGCATCTAACGCAGAGAAGTCTGGTGGGGCTGAGAACAAAGCACCTTCCCCCAAAGTCTGTTAGTATCTCCCAGGGGAACGAAAACAAGTGTCTGGAGTGACTGAAGAAATCATCAGTTAAACTTTGTTCTCAACTCTCCTTCAGATATTAATAGCCGCTTTTGTTTTTCCTCCAAGTAGATGATCACTGTTAATGAAATGTGATTTCAGGTTTTATGGCTGAGTCAGGAAGTTCAAAGTTAACAAGAGTTTCCACACCGACGATCAGTCAACCCCGCCGCACATACATCTTTAGGCCTCAACATTTTTGTGGGACAAGAACAGCCTTCTGGGCATAAACCGGTTGTGAAGGTTACTCTGAGGACAAAAGCCCTGGTTCACAGACACTTGTTCCTGAGCTGTGGTCTTAAAAATAAAGCATAATAAATGAAGCGCCCCTAATGAGAATTGTAGTGGTGACTCGAGTTGATTAAAAGTGAAGAACGTGGCATGAATCCCTCAGGGACGGACTTGCTTTCACATTGAGGGGCTTGGCTGAGGTGGTTGGTCTGGGCCCATGTGGCTTTGCCGACATCCCCCCCCGCCCCGGTGTGGGCAGCTTTGAGCCAGGAGTACCAAATGAACTTGAGTTCAACTCTTTCAGACTTTTAGCAGACAGCATTTCCACCTCATGGCTTTCTGTGTTTGCTTGAATATGTGCTTTCCTTGCTGAAGATCTGTTTTCATAGGAGGTCCAGAGAACAGTGTTATGGAGTTTTCTCATATTGATTGCTATTAGGTTTGCAAAACTCATGTGAGCTTGTAACCTGACTGCAGGTGCGAAGAAGATAAGGCAGGTTGGTGTTTGAACTTATATAGGTTTATCTTACCCCTGCCTCGATTTATTGAGAGATAATTGACATAGAACCTTGTGTACGTTGAAGATCTACAACTTGATGATTTGATACATGCCTGTATTGGGGAATGATGACCACAATAAGGTTAGGTAACACATGGTATGGTGCTGTCGCTGAGTTCCCAGGGGTCCAGAATGGCTCTCCTCGGTCTTGGGCTGCTCCAGGGTATCCCAGGCTCCTACCTGGACCCCGAAACCCCCACAAAGGCACTTCTGTCCATGGATAGACGCCTACCCATTGTTGCTGAGGGTGGGATACAAGCGAGGGACTTCTTTTTCCGCCACCTCACTGACATCACTCTACCAAGGTTTATCTTTTTAAAGATTTAAAAATTTCCCATTTTTTGCTGTGAATGATTTTATTGCATCATGATTTACCTCAGTCGGCTGGCATTTTCAGAAAATGAAAAAGTCCATGTTGTTTAATTTTCCAAATGACTGATG